GTCTGACGGCTGATTTTATACAATAAGTCTGGCTTTCTGTCTGAGATAGAGAAAGACCTGACGTTAAGAGGAGAATTTATTATGAATTTACAAAATGGGATGTGCGATAGACTTACCTCCACGTGGTGCACCCTGGCCAACGTATACTCATACGGCAAAAAAGTCTATAAACCGGCAGTTGACTTCTGACTTCAAACTACCATGACCCCACTGTATGTCACATTCGACCACTTCCACAGTACACACCTCACCTTTCATCTACCTTTGTGTCTATATCTAATGCATCTTTAAAACATTCTTCTGTTCCCCCCCCTCTCAACTTTTTTGGCTTTGATGTTCCTCTCCCTCTGTGAAGCCTGAAGTCAACTAAAGGGCCAATGATAACTATCATAAGGCCTGCCATTTGATATAAATGAATTTACGAAATTAATCAGAGATGTCGTCAAGTGCCTGACGTCGGATACGTCACCTCTAACCTGATAATGAAACTAGGCGTGCGCAAAGCCAGTTGCTTTTCATGAGCAGTTTAAACCTCACTTGGGGTGGTGCACCCACTTGAGCACTTGCTAGGCAAAGTACGTTTCTTAGGGAACGTTACTAAAAGGCGATATTAAAGAAAGCATTTAGGCTTCACAGATGAATATTTCGATTAACCCAACGACAATCCATTGCAACGCCACTATTCAGATTGCCTTCTGACACAAATCCTAAAAATAGAGAAGGACGAGCTAAGAAACCATGGACGTTTACATAAGGAGAAGTCAAGGACATTCATTGACTGCCTTTTTGGTTAGACGTTTAAAATTTTAATTTCCTGGAATTGGAAATCTGCAGTCATCATACGCAACTTTTAATCACGAGATGAGTGTACTTTGTGTGCAAGGTAGGAAATAAGTTGCAGAAGCTCAAAAAAATATAATTATATATTAAGTGACAAATTTTCGCACAATTCAAATTTCATTTGCAGCGTTGCAATTCATTAACTTACGCTGACCGTTGATGCCACAAATCCGTTCATAGAGAGTTCTTTTGTCCTGTGCTAAACGATGTCGACGCTTTCTTTCCTTTTCTTCAGCTTTCGCAGCTTCACGTCTTCTTGCCTCTGCTGAAATTAGACGTGACCTCTCAGCTGCAGAGAGCTTCCCAGTTGCCAATCGATGATGACCCCGATGGCGACCGGCGAAACTCGTTTTTCGCATCACTGAGAACGTATCATCCATGGAAGTTGTGGAAAGAGGGTCTTCAGTTGTTGATTGTTCTGCGCCTACTTGATCCACCTTTTCACCTTTCCTGTTTTCGGTGTTACTGTACCTATTCTCATCCTGTTCATCAGACCCTTTGGATTCTGAACCATCAGTTGTGTATGTTGAGCCTATAGCCACGCAGATTAGTACTGAATAAATTATATGCCGCAAACCTTTTTCATTGAGTGACGACATCTCTGATTTTGAGCGCTGGTAAGCAACATTATCATGACCATCTAACGGCAGTCTTCTTGACAGATCTCTGGGTTTATGGATAAATTTAGTATCCACGTCGAAATCTTCTTCCATTACCACAGGAGCACGCGACCAAATATCTCCCTCATTTGCAACCAAATGCTCTGGTTTATTCCCCAGGAATCTGTGTATCGATCTACCATTCGAATCATTGGCGCTATCATGACCTTGAAAAGATCAAGCAAGTTTTCAATGCTTTAAGAAATCTTACTTTTCCCTCTCCTGCTTTCGTCTAGAAACATACTGTTTTCATTTCCTAATGGGATTACAACTCCCAGCTTTCGGTATCTCCCGTTTCCATTCATGATAATGCCTGAAGGTTTCCCATTTGGATATGAAGCTATTTGATTTGGCGCAGTTGAATCATGACTTAAACTGTTGACAATTATAGTTGTCGATGGCCGTGGAGTCCGTGGACTTGGGGTCTTTTCTCCTTCTGATGATTTTTGGGTATCACTACTTCTTGGACTTAGTGGGCCAAAGTAGGATCCCTTTTTCGATGTCCAGGCTAAATTTAAAAAAAACACGAAAAATGAACGTATACGAGACAAAACAGTCAAACATATTATGAAATTTACTTACGATTTCCAGTTACCGGTATCTCTTTCTCCTCGGCCTCATGTTGAGCGACCGCTTTTTTTATCATCTTTCGGAAGTGCTTACTTAAGTAATGTGGACGATAAAATTCTCCCAAAAGGTGTTTCACAATACGTCCAACATCTCGTAGCATAACCTAGGATAAGGTGTTAGACTACATAATAATAATTATAATAGTGGTACCCATTCCATTTTATAGATACGACAAGTCTCCCAGATTTGGCGGATTGTGTCCAGCTTAGTATCCTATGAAATTCAGCATATTTTGAACAAATACTCAAACCCTTTTCAGCATGCTCGCTGTATAAAGTTTCTCCAGTGTATGCACTGTGAGGAAAGCCTCCAAATCAAAACCATTTTCAACGAATAGGCTCACAAATGCCTCTTGATCGTTTAGTATGGCATCGAACATGAAGTTGTCAAGTCCGTGTCGCTAAAAATATCAATGAACTTGAATTTTTTAATCTTGCCTTCCAATGACGACCTTCGGTAAATATTTTCTCTTTAGCTATATCAGCTCTATTCAAACGAATTGTAACTTCCAGCTGTTCGGTATTTAGGGTGTTAAGAGGCGTTTCCAATCCAGCTAAAATGTAATTTACAGTCAACGATCAAGTCTCAAATATCAAAGAAATTTTATTGATGGTATAGCAGTGAAATAGAACCTACCGCTGCTGAGCAGAGCCGAAATGACATATCCATCCATGTCATTATCATCCATATCAAAGACAGAGACGAGGTGGTTGAGATCCTCTATCATTTTGCGAAGAATAATAATCTCATCCATATAGTCCGATAAGTTTAGTAGTCTAGCCTTAGGTGGTTGGTGGTGAATTTTAGGACTTGCCAACATGAAGGAGACATGGGATGAACGTCGCGATGATGCTACTGGCGTGACGTCAGAACTGCTGAATCGAGCACTATTCATTATTGGCTTTTCAGGGGATTTTCGTTCGCGTAAATAGAAAGCCCCCAAATCTTGCTCATCCTGCTCGTCCAATATACTCGCGATCCTTAATGCAGAAGGAATTGTAATGCTTACATTGATACGGAATATATGGGAGGAACTCTAGTTGACCACGTGGTCATTTCAAATCGAATTCCCCTACTCAACTTCCTCTCATCATTCTGTTATAAATAAATAGGGAATATCTTGGGGAAAATGCCCTTATAGTGTATGAACGTGCCAGACAGAAAAGTGAGCAAAATGTGTTTAAACAGACAGCTTGTAATGCCCTCTTCAAGTTTTCAATAGACCCCGAGAGCAGGTGCACCCTAAGTCCAATTTTAATTTTTAACAGGAAGTCACAATATGTCTGCTCTATTACAATAAATAGAATCAACAAATTCAATAAGTTGCTATGTTTCGCGTATAGTTGGAATGGCCACTGGTATTTCCTCTTATTATTCCATATCAGCTATTGGAGACAATAGAAGCTATTTGTGCTTGACTACCTAGACAAAATCTTATGCTTGTTTTTTTTTATTTCGTGAGCCCTTTGAATACGGAAATAATGGAAATTGTTTTCCATTTTACTACTTCCGTTTCGCTTAAGGCGCTATAATTGCGAAGTTGCTTCAAATAACCTTAATCACAAGCTAAAAGTAAGTCAATAAGATGACGGCTACCTGTCAGTTACTGACATTTTCTGTGAAAGAAAGCTAAGGAATTATGAAAATCCAACAACCCGCTTCATATTAAGGAGGTGGAATTAAAATATTTCAAAAAAAAGACAAACCCACTTATAGTTGACTTCATCCTCGGACATTTCTTCACCAAGATTCGCCATGAAAGAACTGAAATCAACCACGTTGCTGATAATCGAGGCTGCACCACCGCTCCCCTATTGAAATTAAATGTAATTGTGTTTTGAAATGTGCATCAATATATTATAATAAGTATCAATTTATAGTGCATATAGCTATATTAGTACCTTTTCGAGTTCTATCCCCCTTATTGGTCAAATCCCAAGAATTTACAATTACCAAATATAAAGTATAAATATAATATAAATGCATAAAAAATTGCTTAGGCAAAAAATAGGATCTCTGGTTTGAATGCATCATCACTTCTAAAACAACCAGCAACATTAATTTCTGTCTCAACTCAAGTTCTAGCCTGAGTTGAAATTGAACAAAAACTTTGACATGTAAAGTTGGAAGCTTCACACGAATGCTCTCAGAAAAGTCGTCAATGCCCTTTCTCTATCAACATGGATTTTTATGCCCAGGCCCAGGTTGAAAACCCAAAAATTAGAACGTCATCTTTTATGCCAACATTGAATTGCATGTGAGTAGGAGCTGTTTAACCGTTTGTTCATGCAGAATACTTTATTCTATCAATTATTCAGCCTCCTGCTATCTTCAAATGCATGCATTTGTTGCTTTTAATTAGAAGACAGCAAAATTCCACCTTCATTAACATAAAAAACACAGCTGTAGGGATAAAAGTGTCGAAATCGAAATTGAAGTTACTCCAAGGAAATCCGAAAATGCAAGGCTTGAGAATACATGGGTAAGTGCTTTTCGGTTCAGTTCAAGGCCTGCACACGTTGGGCATAACATAATTCATAGCGACTTAAAATTAACGTGTAAATAATAATTCGAACCAGACTTAGGGTAGATTTAAACACCTTGAATACTCCTTAATGGGAGACCTCAATTCTGGCAATCAATAAGTGTACTTAACCATTCCAATCACATGGTGTGCTTCTCTGTGAATCGAATCCGTTACTCCTGGCATTGTGGGCCAGAACAGTGAACATTTAAGTATTTCTTCTAATAAATTTAAATAAATCTTAACTTCTGTTGAATAACAAGACAGGTAAGCAAAAAAATGCTCATTTAACTTCCAATGAGTCTAAAGAAAAATTGACAATTACTGCTTATGGACACTAATAACTTGCGTATTTATAATAGTTAAAATCAAATATATGCCTTCTTCGAATTTCTAAAGAATCCAAACTGTTTGAGAAACAAGAGATAAATTCAAATCTTTTCCACTGGGTGCAGACATACCCAAAGGGCATTTTCACTCAACTTTACTTGAACAGAATACCACCAAATGTCTGCAGAGTACACAACGTGGGTATCTCTGAGCAAAGTAATCTCATGCACGCTCACACAGGCTAGAAGGTGCGGTGCAACTTTGCGTAGGGAGTAAGTGCAGCCGTGAGCGCGATGAACGTACAGCCAATCGCCATATCAATAAAATGACTAATCTCTTTGTCCGTACACATACACGCAAACACACCATAAGTATACATACGTGTTACGTCTCTTTCCTCTATAACTTTCCGGAAGCTTAACTAATTCCGAGAGTCTTTCCAAACATAGGTGAATCTGACATAGAGAATACTGAATATAGTGAAGGCTTATTAGTGTTGTAATTCGCCACATACCCAAGTTCTGAAAGCATTGGAAAGAAAGCAGAATTAGTTGAATGTAGACTGAGTAGAAATAGTACGTCGCAAGACAAAACTTAAGTATTAAAAATCTGATTATCATTACCCACTAATATTGAAATGTATGCGTAATTATTTTCAAAATTGTATTTAAATTTATGGACTTTTAAACTTACCCTAATAATCACAAAAGGACAATGGTTGATAGTCATTGAGGCATAGACTTGGTGCAGACTCCATCTATCACCTCCAGCCAGGATTCCACAAATGGGAATTTGCATAGCCACTGGTTCCTTCTCAAGAACCGCTTTCATAGACTCAGATTCTGCTGGTTTGGATGGAGGCGTATGGGTTATTGAACTTGTAGAAAGACGGCTCTAAAAAGACACAACAGGACTGTTTATTAATAGTAGGATGCAAGACAATAGCAAGAAGGAGATAGATTGGAGGAAGAAAATAGGGATTTGGTCCTTGAGATTCACCTTAACAACCACCGGGGTTTTCCGAAAGTCTGCCCATCTGAATAAAGGCCCATGGTTCCGAAAAAGTAGCTTTATGAAATGGAATTTTCAGTTTAACCGCCCTGAGCTGCGGAATTTTCAAAAGATCTTGTGAAGTAGTGAGCTGAACCAAACGGCAACGCGTTTTTTCAACCACTCTTACCTATTATAACACCTAAGGAACCTGGACTTTGGTACTGTAAGAGACTATTGAGTCTTATTTCGATAATAAAGAAGGCGCGTTGTTTTTTATTCGAAAATTTTCCACTGTTCGCCCGAATTCTCATTTGGTGAAGAAGCACTCTAAAGGGGGTGATATTGTTGGCTGTCATGACGTGCCCATAATAAGAGGACACATGGGAATATTGAAATGAAAGAAATATTTTACTTCATTTAAATATACTAACTACAGGATGTTAAAAAATATCATACTAGCTATTTAGTTAGTCACATCAGGTGTTGAAAGCGTTCAAAATGATCTTCAGTATACAACTCAGCTCGTCACAATATATCTGTAGAAATTTCGACCAAGTTAATTAGAGTCATTCCCGCAATAGTACTGCGAATGTTCATTTTCATCTCTTCAATTGTATGCGACTTATTGCAGTACATCTTATCCATTACATAACCCCACAAATTAAGACCGCAGGTAGACTGATCGGAATATCGCGGAAGCAGTAAAGCTGCCGAAACTCTACCTTCTCCCCTAAAGGTTCCATGGGCATACGACATTGAAAATCACCTTGCTGGAAAAAGACTAAAACTTTCGATATGAATGATTGCAACAATTGCGTTGCATGCGCTTCAGAGCAGGAGCAACTGACTGGAGATATTTAGTGGTGAACCACTTATTTTACTTTACACACGATTTATATCCCCAGTCTGTTTCAACAATGAGCACTCTTTGTTCGAATGAAAATAGATTTCTGCAGGACCGTATTCACCGCCGTTATTAACTAGCGACGGTGAAACAATGGCCCCTAGACATCACGTGATCCCGTACAAGAGCAAGATAACACTTTCAGTGTGGTACTGAACACGGGCTTCCTTTGTTTTTGTCACACTCTAGCTATGACGGACTTTATTTCTAATTATTTTTGTGCTCCCATTGGTGACGGATGATGACTTTTCAGACCTGCATCAGTGAACAAAACAAATGAGACTGAATTGACGCTGATATTACACTTTCCTTGTCTGACAAAAGGCAGTCATTCACTAATCGTAGGAATGTTTTAATAGGTGGGAACCAATGTACACTTTTGCATTTTGGTAAATAAGAAGTGACTTTTGGCATTTCTTACTAAAATTACACTCACTTTTAGTAATTTGTATTTTTTCACTGTGAGCAAGAAACCGTGAACTAAACAGGTATTGAAGGTAGAAGAAAAGCTGCCATGGAGTCTTCATTCAGCTTACATGTTACTCAATGTTCGGTACATATTTCAAAACGCCGATTTCCTTATTTATTTTCAGGACTACTGGGTACATTCCTGTAAGTGATATTCAGCACATATTGGTCAACACGGTCTTCTAGGTTATAGCTTGTTCCTAATACAGCAAGACCGAAGTAGACTTATTCTAAAACTATAACAACTGACCAATTAGCCATAACATACCATTCTTTGGGAGAGACGTTTTCCAGCTTCAGATAAGAAATTGGTTAGGCCTTCCTCTTTCTGCCCTGTCGAGGGTGTTTCGATAGGCGTTTTGAGTAAATTCGCTATTTGAGGAGTCACCTGTCCTGATTCCCGTTGAGATGGTGTTGATTTTGAAGGTTTCAATGATACCGATGGTGGTGAAGGTGGTTCAATTGTTGCTCTGAATTTCGGCTGTTTTGACGGTTGACCTGGTGCCGTTGTCTCTGATAGTGTTGGAACTGTACAATGAGTTGATTCTGAAGTGGCCATAGCTGAGCTGTGCAATTTTTCTTGAGCCGCCTTTTGATTAAATTAGAATGAACAGTAGTTTTATTTTTCTGTCCCAACCGCATAAACTGCATTGAAAGAGCATGCCAAGTCAAAAATATTACATTAACTAATTATCAAAAGATATTGCGACTAGCCATAGAGCTGATTGCAGGAAAGGTAATAAGTTTCTGTGTTTTGTGTTTATGGTGTCTAAACTAGCATCTCATTAGTAGAGGGCATGTGCGTCGCTAAAGTTGGAGTTCACTGGACGGCCCGCACGCTTTAACCCCCCTCTCCCCCCTCCCAGTTATCTCGATATCCACACTTCATTGTGAACCAAGGAGTTAATATCTGCTTCAATGTCTGCAATAACCTTTTTATCTCACTTTCTTAACTATTTTGTTGTCAATATACTTCCTGCTCATTTCCTATGACCATTTAATGAATGTGTCCAATACTGTTCGCTTTGTTTGATCAACAAAAGAAAGACAATAGAATTATCTGTACAATGGCTCTAAATGACCCTAAAAGTCTACTTAAATGGTCTGAAGTACTGGTCTGTATTAATGAAGAGCACTTACTGTTTTCCACCCAATCACCATCCTTTCAACAGCGACTCGAGTCTGAATAAGTTGCTCATTTCTTGTTGCCATTTGAGTCTGCCTAACTTCCTCCAAGTCAACTTGTTGTTTTTTCTCCTTTTGAGGAGCAACCATCACTAAACTGTTGTAATTTTTGTCCAAATGAAAGTGCTTGGCACAGTATTTTTGTACCAGAGTCATTTTAGGATCAGTAACTGTTTCGTCATCTTCAGTTGGATAGTAGATGATCTGAAGAAAATGGAAATGTCTGTGAAGTTCATTTTATGCATTAAAGAGCAACTATTTTAGAATGCTTACAGGTGCATTGGTATTAAAGATGTGTTTGAACTTCAGATTGTGCATAGGAGTTACACCAATGGCCAACATCGTGTCTCCTCCATAGGCTTCAACATACTCAGCAACTGCTTCACCGGCTATTTTAGCCAGTCCTCTATCCAATGCGTCTCCAATAATCCAGCAACCTTTTCAACAACAACAACAATAAACGACTTCATTTTCATCTGCAAATAAGTTGTTATTAAAATGGATAATTCGTATTCAAGATGCCTGTTTTTCCTCTAGCCATTCTACAATCCTCCCATCTTCACTGCAACAAAAGGATGGAAGGGAAGGCAGTTGTAGCAAGTAATTTAATTAACAGCAGATGGTTTTGGTGTGCGCTGGCTTTTTGAATCGAATAGATGCGGCTGTTGCTGGCTGGAGGTAGCCGGTGGAGTGTGCAAAGGTGTTTATCAAGAATAATAGAAATGAAAAGGTGCTAGATGTAAGAATCTTTGATCAAGTATTCGTGTTGATGTGACGTTGCAGCTGTTAAAAGTCCAGTTACTTTCCACCCAGACTGAGTGCAAAAGGAGGTTATAGGCTCCAATTACTGTAGATGTCGTGCAATAAAGACGACAGGGAGAGTTGAGACACCTTTATCATCAATTTTGATTAGTAGCTGTTTATAACAACATAATTTAATTGACCACTGGAATAAATATATATGATAGTGTTAGAAATTGGAAGTTCAGTAAGGGATGAAGAGAAGAAAATCTGTGTTAGTTGTGGAAAAGCAGTTGAGCAAAGGTAAAGGCAAACGAGTTTCATGAGGTAGGTGGTTAGGCCTGTAATGAAATCTACCTATCAAGATTCTTACTCTGTTTGATTCCTCAAAACAGTGATTTATCCATGTATTATAAGAAGTAATGCTTACTTATTTGTAATATCCTAATGTTCAGGTTTTGTTAATCGGATTTTGAATTAAGGGAAGAGATTATACTTGTAATATTCATTTAATTTTCCTATTCCTGACAATCTGATTCATTTTGCCTTCTTTAGAACACCAAATATGTTTCAAACTAATTAATTTTTGTACGCCATACCAGAAAACTTTTTTCCATCTACCTAACACTTTTAATCCATTTATAGCGTTTTAAATTCTTAAAATATCTTCCCATTACAATGAAAAAATGCGATTTCCAGAAGTAAGCAAAGCAGTTATTGGTGGCATTTTTGCCTATACTCTAAATTAAATTATTCGATTTGACGATAGAATTTGTTAATTTACCATTGTCTTACTTCATGGTATCTCACCTCCAGGTTATCCTTGTTATTTGCCAATCAAAGAGACACCCATGCATACCAATGGAAAATAAATGTGTTATTCTCTCCCTCATTTCTTACCTGAAGTCTATCTGTGTGGTTAGAGAGTGGAAGAGCCGAATTCCATTAACTGCTCATTAAGTTGACTTTAAGAGAGTGCCTTTACTTTCTTCTTAACGGGTGGTAGCATTTCAACTTTAATGTGTCATTTTGGGATTTGGAATTTCATAAACCACAATTCACCCCCTCAATAATCTTACATTGGTACTTACCAACACTTTCCATAGTTTTCCACAGTCCCTTTTTCATAGTGAAGGTGAATCGTTTCTTCAAATTGGCGTAGGAGCCATGAATGCTTATGACCAAAGTTGGTGGTTTCAATTGCCAAGTGGTGGATAATATTCGTAAGATTTCTTTCGTTGTCGGCACCTTATTAACTACCACAAACTAATAAAATGTCAAAAAAATTAAATAAAAAATCCAAAGAATATCAATATTTATTAAATGCACATTTTAACATCAAAATATCCAATTGCAAAATTTGTTTTTGTAATATAACCTATTAGAATGTTATAATATAAATAAATTCAAATTATTCCTTTAAGTGTGAAAATCATAAAATAAATAAGTTCATTTGTTTTGTAGATATAAGCCAATTATTTGTTCTATAATTAATTTAATGGCAGTAAATAATTGTCATATCACAAACCTGTTGCTTTTATGCATAATAATTGCAATTCGTATTCAAATTACCTTAACTGGTTCATCAAGACCAGAGAAGACAACATCACCTTTAGTAGAGATATCTTCATCGGAAAGCAGTTGAGAGGACAATAAAGTATCCTCTGTAGTTCCTTGTTTGCGCTGTTGAGCATCCATAGCGCGGGTTTTCAGTTCTTGTTCCCTAGTGCTACTGAACGTACTTAAAAATCAAAACCCTTCATATATATATAAGGGGAGCAAACGGAGGGCGTCTCTACAATCTAGCATTTGCTGTCCAGTTTCCGGAGAGGAGAGAGAGAGAGAAGTTAGTATAGGGAGAAACGCCCGTCACCGGAAATCTAGCCCATATTTAAATCTCTGGATGGCCAAGCAACAAGAATGCAGATTGTGACCAGGGTTGATATTTCGTGTTTGCTTGCTTCTCATACATAATTCAGGCTGGGTGGGTAGGAAAAAGTTTTGCAGCAAGTCACCGATTAGCCTATAAAGCTCATTCTCTGTCCAAATTAAATTTCAAATCTTCGTTCAATTTCAGAATAGATGTACTGGGATTATTTAATGAGAACGTTAATGAAAAGTTTGCCTTTTGTCACCTGCTCCTCCTCTACTTAGTGAATAAAAGATTGCGTCACCACTTAATTTGACCTCAACTTGAGTGAACTTTGATCATTTCTGCTGTAATAAATCCAAGCAGCCTTGTCTCATTCAGGTAGATTTCCATCATTGATAACTATGCCAATTACATACTGTGTATAAATTCAATTAACAGTTTGTCAAATACAAAATTTGAAGAGGCACCATCACTATATCTCCTAAAATCGGTAAATTATGTTTGCTGTCTTGGGTGTGGGATAGACTTACCTCCTCGTGGTGCACCCTGGGCAACGTATAATAATACGGCAAAAAAGTCTATTAACCGGCAGTTGACTTCTCACTTCAAACAACCATCACCCCACTCTATGTCATATTCGACCCCTACCACAGTACTCATCTTACCCTTTCTGAGCCTTTCTGTCTCTTTTACATCTGTGAATCAATCTTGTATTCCCCCTCCCGATTTCTTCTCACTTTGATGTTTCTCCTCCCCTCTGTGAAGCTTGAAGTCAGCTAAAAAGCTAATGATAACTATCAAAACGCCTACCATTTGTTATAAATAAATATGTTTGCTGTCTTTTTCTAGTGCAATTCGAATGCAAACTCTTTGAGGAATGACAATATTACGATAAAATGTGGGCAAATGCTAACTTTCGTTCTTTGGGTTATCACTCGCTGACCACCTTAGCAGTATTAGAGTTATCAGAGTACCAATAAATGGAAGAGAACACGA